TGTACAACTTCCCCGTTGGTTCGACTCGTCTCTCCACCACGTCCACGCCCACTACGCTGTTGTTCATCGGATTGGGGTACTTCCGCCACGCAGCTTTGGCGACTGTTTCCCACGGATGACTGGAACAAAGACATAAAAGAAAGACTTTGAAAGCCATAAGATTTTAATCGTAACTGTCTGTGTCCGACTTACTGAGGGGGTAACGCACTCAGTCGGACAGCACACTCACTGCATGGGTGTCGAGCTTCTTCGACAAACAAGTTGATGTCACGGGTGTGAATGTGATGTTTCAATATAAGAGCGTGAGCATAGACTAACCACAGTATGAGCCCCGAGCTGGGGCAAGCGAGGGCGTAATGCTCTTAGCAATGGAGGCAAAGAATAACTGAGAGAACACGCAGATTGACCAATCATGCCTAACAAACAGTACATTATGTTAAATAGGTTACCATGGTTTACTTTCTGAACAGTAAGGCACTACTCTGTGGCGTACTGTTCAGGAAGTAGGCTTACCATGGTTACAGCAGCCAAACTTTTTTTTCATGTTTTTCTTGAGATTTTGTTTGAAAAAATAAAAGTATAACAGTTTGAAAGAATTGTGGGTGGTGATCACGCCCTCCATTTAAATGGTAGGCTGAGGTCATGCCGGTACACCACGGGTACACAAAGCAACCCCTGTAGGCAATGGTAATTGTGGAGCAGGCATTGGACAATGCTTAATACTCGGTGCAATATCACCACGTTCACTACGGCAGTGTGCAGCTGCGGGTCAAACTTCCCGAACTTTCCTACACCATCGAACCGTGATCATGCACCATGTGTGTGCACTGAAATAAGCAGAAAGGTTAATGCCACAATACTTACTAGAAAACGTGCTCGGTACTCCAGATTTTCATGATTTCTACATATACATGTACTTCTGTCAGTTTCTGATTCTCATACACAAGAAAATACCCTCACTAGTACTATGTTGGGAGACAACTTTCCACTATACTGATACCGGTTACTACCGCAAGTTACGTATGTGCAGCATGAATGAATTGCGTCAGATGCCGGGTCACAGCCCCGGAACATCCCGGAACTATTAGCAACGATTGGGCTGGTGCGCTGAGCCGACATTCTCAGAAAACACGTGGGAAGATTGGGAGCCATGTGGGTGGTTTTACGTCAGTGTCACTCACTCACTCACTTCTCAGTGACTGAAGGCAAACTTTGTTCCGCTACTAGACAATGTAGTACCTTCCTTTCTTATCGAGTCAAATCCCCTCTGCATGTCAGATTACGTATGCGACGGTTTAATTATGGATTTGACAAAATGCTTTGGTTTGAAACAATTTTTCGAATAACACGAAAGCGTTAACTGAATAAAAAGCATATGAAAGAGCTGATCAACCCAGGATTGACTGGTGATTAACAAAAAAGATATTGCACAATAATTTGTTTTAGTGTACTCAAATATAATAGTCTACGGTTGAGAATGTGAGGAGTAGCGGCATGTGAACGGGTTCAGTTACAGTGTATCTTGATCCTTGTTCCTCATAAGGTATGAGAATTTTCGTGTCATCGATCGTTTCAGTTCACTCTTTGACAACCTTGGCAGCTCCAGTTAAATTTTCGAGTGACAGGGTACTTTTTGCCTACTTTTGACAGGAAAGGAAATGAAACAGTCTCAAATGGCTCTTGTCCATCACTTTAGAAAGTTTTTCTCTTCTTGGGGGAGTGGCCCCAGGCCCCCACTGTCTTCATAATTGTAAAAGAAAAATGCAAGCCTAATAAGATTCAGACGACTCACTAGTGTATTTTCGGCAAAGACTTCAGTTAAATATTCTTCCGCAGTATTAGTAAGAGCCCATCCCCGTGGATTAAAACATTGTCAGAAAAGTATGCGTTCATTAGGGAACCAGATTTGGCTATAAGTTGATGTTACACATAATGTTATTGGTTAGCTCTCAAGGTGAAGCTTTATATTAAACCAATGAAAAACTTGATGGCATGAAGAGTCAGTGTTGGTTCGTTCCTTGACAACCCCCATAATCTAAAAACAAGATGGCGAAGTACTATTAGTCGTTCGGAATACAGCCCAGCAACAGAAGAAATGTTGATCTTATTTGTGCTGAATACGGCCTGAGTAAGTTTTAACCACACGTAAGTGTTAACAGGGTAAGGGTAACTGGTGTGAAATAATAACTGGCAATTGACGACCAGTATCAAGTCTTTGCCAACCTAGGAGCTGGTCATGCTGGTCACGTCACCCAATTAATCAGCAGATGTACGTGCAGACTCAAGTCAAGTCATAGGCCTATCACACATGTATCAAGTCAGTGTGAGTCAGGCCAGGGTAGGGAGGCTCATACATTTTTCAACAATTTTTGTCGGTTTTCTTTTTGACGTTATCTTGGACAGGATGTCATAAGAAAATTTTTATGTAAGTTTAAATTCCATCAGTGTCAGTAGCCTACCTGCAATTTGCAAAGCAAAGAAACATTGATTTAAATAGGAATATATTTTGAGATGTTTTGGGACTTTTTGTAGGCCTAGGCCTACATGTGTAATGCAGAGAAAACTGTGATTTTTTTTACACAAAAATGAGTATGGATTTTTACTGGAAAGCTTAAACTTCATATTTTCATAAAATCTTTGTTCTTTCCAGGCCTCATTTCAATGAATTAAATGTTGGCTTCTCTTGAAATTTCAAAAAAAATTTGAAATTGGAAATTTAATGGAGGAGCTGGAACATGTGGAAAAAGACAAATTTCAATCAGAATTTCCTTTAAAAAAAATGAGTTCCCAAATGAACAGCGCCCTCACTCATTAAGCATGTCTCTAGCCAGGGCGACCATGGCCGATCGTGATGTCAGTGAGCTTCAGTAGCCTAATTATTAGGCTAAGATTAAGGAGGGGATCGTGTATTAGGGGATCCCATTTCTATAATAGAAGGAAGACATGGAAGACCTACATTCTAACTTTTGGATTCACCTTTAACTTAGCGGTGGACATGGTTAGTGGTTAGGGAGACTCTATAAAGCAAAGCAAGTCAATTTGAAGCGGGGTTGTGTTGAGATGTTTTTGTAGCCTACATACATGTATATAATGCAGAGCAAACTGATTAGTTTGTACACAATAATGAGTGTGGATTGTAGCTGAAAACCCCAACATTCACATTTTTGTAAAATCTTTGTTCTTATTTGTGTCTTATTTCAATGAATCAAATGCTGAAATTTCAAAAATTTTGAAATTGGAAATTAAATAGAAGAGCTAGAGCCTGCAGAAAAAGACAAATTTTAATCACAATTTCCTCCTTAAGGAAATGAGTTCCCAAATAAACAGCACCCTAGCTCATGTATGCATGTCCCTACCGATGACCATGATGAAATCATAGTCAATAACTGTAGGGTTGGTTATGAAAATAAGGCAGGGTTTGAATTTTGAGGGAAATTATCACTGATTATGAGGGGAGCTGTGAATGTTTTAACACGATGCATGGTGGGGGGATTGTATACTTGGGGACCTCCCAGTTTTGTTGTCATTTTAATCTCGGCTGATTTATCAGTAAGAAAGTCACATTTTCTCACAATTTTCAATCCCAAATTTTGAAAAAATAGAGTGAGCGCAATAAAGAGGGTGTTGCTTTTGTCTTTTTGGGGGGCCGACCAGTTTTGCAAAATCAAAATGACAAAAACTGGGGTCTCAACATGCAGAACACTGGAGCACGGCGGAGCATATTCAAAAGGCAATAAATTGTGAGACATAGACAGTTGAGCTGTCTCAAAAGTCGAGTTTACCCCTAGACATGCTAGAACTAGCCTAGAGCTCAGCGGATGACGAACCCTAGACATGCTAGGGCTAGGGTTACAGTTGAGTTGTCCTGGGCTGAGTCGAGTTGTCAAACAGTCAAGTTGTCCGAGCCCAATATAAACTTGAAGAACATGTTACACAAACACACTATTTTAGTGTTTGGAGATCTGCCATGCATATTGGTTCTAGAATTTTGCTCAGGTTTAGAGGTTCGGGGCCCAAATTAATTTTCACTTCACTTTCTGTCTGCACATATCAAGAAAAAGTGCTTGATACCTTGTGCACAAACCTCATGAGTCTGTTCTGAACAATTCTTTGTGGGGTTTTGGTGTACATGTATACCTCAATATTTCTACCATTAAATTTGACTTTTTACGACATTTTATTGCCTTCAGATGGCTAATAGATTGCTGCCCAAAAAAATGTGTGGCATCTATGTACGGAATTCTTTCAGCATATCCTTATTCTGTGAAATACCCAGACCTACTTGTAACGACATGCAGACTATTATGACATCAATTGTCCATCACTTAGCTTAAGTAATTAACGGCCCGAATGCTCACAGCATCAGAAAATTCATGTCTAGAATTTCTAATGTCAGGAGCATTGGGCTGGAGTTATTTGAGGCTTGCTGAACTATTGAAATAAAAAGTGCAAGGCAAGGTATTTTTTTATTTCCATAAGGCCCCCCAAAAGTCTTTCCTCTCTGGTCAGCGCGTGCATCAATTTCAAGCATGCGCTTTTTTTCTCTCTGCAAGAGCTGCAACAGCGCCCTCTATTGCTGCACTGCCTCAACATTTTTGCAGCCAGCTCAATCTTTTACTCAGGGCGATAGATCCCGATGTTGAACAAAGCCGCATTGCTGCATCAGTGCCGGAACATCAGTCTAACCAGAGACAAACTATTATTGTTTTTTTGCCCTGAGATAACATTCCTCAAAAATTTACATTTGGCAAGCCCTACTAGACAAGGGCATTTTATGTTTTGCATCCTGTCACCGTAGATTAGTTAACTTTTTTTTTCTACATTTACTTTACAGACAAAGCGATATTGCCAACATGCCCACGGGTCTGGAGAAGCAGACGGCCCAGCGGGCCACTGACTGTGGGGAGACACCGGAATATGTCAGCAAAGTCACTGCTCCCAGAAACCCCAAACTGGTCAGAGGGCCCGTGGAAGAACCTAAAGTAAGCAGGTCTTGGCAGACCTTGTTCTAGCTGTGTCACAGTCATGGTTGTTGCCATTAAAGTGGTCTTCAAAGTATAGCTTGCAGAATTCACTTCTGTCAATGTACTAAATAAATGCTATTAAAATAAAAACACCACTCTCTTTGACGACAGTGGGAATAAAACTTACAGCTTGAGGTCAAAGGCTGTTTCTAACCTAGAGTGAACCTTCTGCAAACGTTGGCTACCCTTAAAGTCAGTTGTGTGATATCGGGCATTTTTATCGTTTTTCACAAAAATATCCTGCAGTTGACGCCGTCGTCCTTCATGAAGGAGATGGCACAGACGACCTCGGAGAAGCTTGCCAACACGCACGACATGCGGATCCCACAGGTCATTGAACTCCTGGACATGGGAGACACAACTCACCAAAAGGTAGAGGGAGCGGCAGTTTGAAGAGACACTGGACCACGTTGACGGTCGAAACACAAAATTCACCAATTTGGTGTATTTCAAATCGGGTCAAATCCCTCATGAATCACATTGTAGCTGATTGTTGCTTTCACACAGGGGCTGTGTAGTGAACTTCAATTAAGCAATGAGATAAGATACTTGGTAACATTTCTCAGTGTCTTTTCAAACATGTAAGCACAAACTGTTCCCAGAAACTTTGTAACCGAGCAGTGGTCGATATTCATAAGATGATATTTATTTGAAGAGCCGAACTGATTCATTTTCTCGGAACCAGAGTGGGACAAATTTTTTTAATCCAAAAACAGTTCAACACCAATTGTTTTAATTTCTCCTATATCTATCTTTTGGCCAAATCACAGTGACAATTTACTAACTCTCTTACATTATCCTGCGCTCATTGAAATAACTTTGGTTTGGTGATTTACGTCGCCATTGTCCAGTTCTCTGTTGTGGACATCGATGAGCCCATGTTCCAGCCGTTCCCGTCCGAGATTGTCTTCCAACAGTTCGAGCCTCACGAGGTCTACGAGGTTCCCTTGCTCCTCAGGAACAGTGATAAAGTGAGTAGCTCCCTCAGCTGTGATTGCTAAGCAGATCTTTGACGAGACTTTTTCGTCGCGTTGCCATTTTGCATTGAAAATATGCTTACGTATCATTTTTAAGAACTTTTTTTTTTTTTTCAACTGAATAATGGAATGGTCACTTCTGGACTTGTTCTCTTTCAATTTGCCGGCAATCAGCGTTGTAACCAAAACTGTACCTGCAAATTGATCTTAATGAATGTGTCTCTTCAGTTTCAGAGCTACAGGTCGTTGGACGAAGTAGGGAAATTGGTTTTAAACACAGCATTGATTCTGGGGAAATAATTGCATTTCTTTTATGTTGAAAAGTTCGTGAGCAACCTGTCCTGTATGGTCATTTCATCTCTGATCTCAGATCTTTGTCAACAATGACTTGCATCTTTGCTTGTTTCACAGGTGTCTAGACTGGTCAAAGTGTTCCAGGCAGACTCACCTTACTTCAAGATTATCAGCCCTCCCGACATCGGGAACAAGGTCGCCCCTGGCATGGCCATCATCTTCAGGATCCAGTTCATGCCAGCCGAGAAGAAGGTTGGCATTTCAACTTTCGAATTAATTTTCCAAGCTCCTTTCTCCGCGACAAGAGCCTCAAGCATTTCTCTCGCGATCATCGCCTTCTGACATTATTAACTTCTTAATTTTGCTAATGTTTATGTGACCTGTTTTTACTGTAATGTTTGTAAATGCAGTTGACATTTAATATTGCTTTGTTGTGTTGACCCTGCAGTGTACTGTAATTTGAGCAGTTTAAAATACGTCCTAAAGGATTTTTGCCGTAACTTCACATGGAAAAAATCAATCATAATTTGATCTTAATCATTCCTGAGATGTCATCATTGCTGATTTTCCCCCTCTATGTAGGATTACAACCACGAGCTGATCTGTATGACGGAGCGAGAGAAGTTCGTAGTACCGGTGAAGGCCATCGGTGCCCGAGCCCTCCTGGACTTCCCCGACCAGGTCAACTTCTCCACCTGCCCCGTCAAGTACCCCTCCACCAAGACGTTGCTCGTCAGGAATGTGGGCAACAGAGATGCCAGGTTCTCCCTCGACGTGCCGCTGTAAGTTGGATGAAAAATAACAATCATCTATTTCACTGTAACGTTTGTATTTTTGACTTCACTGTATCACAGTGTTTGTTGTAAAATATGGCTCTTGTTGATAAAAACTTCCTTGAAATACCATTTTCGGTTGGACAAATTGCCAAGCCTAATGAGAATGAATGACCTTTGCAAACTGAGACGGTGCAGATGTTGTTTTGCCCTTAGCTGTTAATTCTTCTTTCCAATATTTTCATATTCAAGGATAATGTTGGACTGGACTAGTGGAAACCTGCATTTTAGCCGGATGAACTGTGCGATTTTCAGCCGTATTCCGATCTCGCAAAATGAAAAGTTTAGAAGTAGATCTAGGATCTGAAATTCAGTAAAAGATGAGAAATCTTTGTGATAATTGTTTTGTTATTTTCCTAACATTGGGCTTTGAATGCCTTGTGACCAGGAATTTATTGGTGGAGTCTTCCTTTTTTTTTTCAGGCCATTCACGGTTCATCCTGATTGTGGCACCTTGGCCGTGAACGAAAGCCTTCAGGTAGAAGTGACGTTCAAACCAAGCACCATTGGAGACCACAGCCAAGACCTTACCATCTCCTACGACACAGGTCAGTATAGAGTGACAGGGTGAACTTTTGTTGGGATCAAAGTTGCTTACGCACTATTTATCTTTGCCATGTGAGAAAACCGTCAAAATGAAGCTTTCATAGAGACACAGCTACCCACTGAGACACTGTTATTTAACTGAAAGGGCAGGAAATCTTGCAGATCACAGTAAATCCGGTATCAAAATTCAGCTTGTTGAGTTTCAGACTTGGTTTTCATCAGCCGCTACTGCCCGTCTGATGGTATCCTTGGTTTAACTGCACAAAGATCATTGCAATGCAAATAACAGTGTACATGGTCAAATTGTGAACAGGTGAAGACATCTTTGTCACGCTGTACGGTGCGGCTGTGGACGCCAACGTCCGACTGGACAAGAACACCGTCCGCATCGAGAACACCTTCATCTCCATGGCCAATCAGCGGTCGGTGACCATCAACAACCGCAGCGACGTCATCGCTCACTTCCAGTGGAAGCCGTTTGCCTCCGTTGACGAGGAGGGGCAACAGAAGGACAGGTGGGTCGGATCAAAATTTGATTCCAGGTCAGATTTGTTTCCTGATCAAGATCTCCCGGGAAAATATTTCCAGATGTTCAAATCAACCCGTAACAATGTGGCCCAACCTAATCAAACGAGTTGTTTTGAGTTGAAATGCATCTTTCACAATGTAAATCAGTAGGACCCCTCAACATTTGTTTCGCCCATGTGATGCTCATTTTATCAGGATGCCAATCTCAGTGATCCATCGAAATTTAATTTCTTTTTCAACGATAGCAGCCAGCAGCTGAATTATGGTCCAATTACACTAGCCAAAGACTCGTAGAATTACGCATAGGATAAGTAAAAACATTATAAACATTAACAAATACCAATAAACAAAAGTATAAAAGATAAAGACATGTGAATAATTAATCCAGTGATACAGAACATTCTGGTGATAGCAATAAAATAATAAACGACCCCCCTGTGTATCCCTGTTTACTAAGTACAAGAAGATGATGACTGGTTATCAAAATGTAGCACTTAATTTGCTATCTCTTATGGCTTACGGTAATGAGATTGAATGAAGAAATGGCCTTAAGATTCTTTTCAGTGATGTATATTAAACTTTGTATTGGTGACAGATTTTGCACCGATCTAGCCGAGGAGGAACAGGCGGAGCATGATCGCTTCCTGGAGGAGTGCATCGTGGATCACACGCTGCGTGACAAAATGGCCATCCTCACCCGAACCTTCCACAACAGGAGAAAGGTGAGCAGTGTAACAGTGATTATTGGCACTGGAAACTTGTCCTAACTGTGGCTCTTCAGTGGACGCAGGGTTTGAAAGTTGCTCATAGACGACGAGCCGATTTGGAGTCCAGAGCCTGCTGAAAATGAAGCGTGTCTTTGGTCACTAGGGATAATCAGTACATGAGCGCGAGACTGGCTCTGTCAGTCTGACTGTACGACATAGGCATTGAACATGTTGCAAACAACTGGCTGATGCCTGGTGTTCATGCGGTCGTCTGTAACGCAGATGGTCCGCAAGACGTGAAGACGCAGACACAAACGGAAGAGACGGTGCATGATGTCATTCGAAACATTGAATAAAATGGCGTCCGAAACTTTGTGTTGTTTTTGGGGAAATTCCCTTTTAGATTGACCGTACCGCCTCATGATGCCAAACCTGAGCACGTACTCCAGTGTCATGCATTTCGTGGATGGTAAGGGTGTAAGCCTTAAGCATTAAGGAGGAAATGGGCAAAATTTGCAGAACTGAAGCGAGAGGGACATTGTTGCACGCCGGTCATGCCCGCAAGCGTGCTCTCCGACGCAGACAGTTGGCAAAGTTGAACCTGGCTCAACTTTGCCGGTCTTTGCGGGCTGGTTTGCGTTTGTCTGCGTTGTCGGTGATACCTGCGTTTGGAACGTTTCCATGTGTCTGCGTTGCAGTTGGTGTCTTGATTGCATTGCTCTTTGCATTTCTTACTTTGATATGGAAACCAGGCTGTAGCATCAGGTGTTTTTTTTTATCCCAAATGACCTTGCTTCTCTGAAATACTGGACAGGCTTATCGGCATAATATGTCACTAAAGCCATCAGTGAAAAATGGATATTTATTGCTCTTTGTGGCCAGTTGAAAACCAGTTAAGGACGCATTGAATTTGACTGTTTTTCTTCAATTTTTTCATCACAGATGGTGGAGGGGGACAGCATGCTGTACACCGACAGCGCATTCACGATCGAGCCCCTAGAGGGCGACATTTGGCCCAACTCATCTACCGAAGTCAATGTGATCTTCAAGCCGGAGGAGGCCCGCACCTACTGGAGCACCGCCTACTGCGATGTGACCGGCCGCGAGACCCGCCTCCCGCTTAGGATGCGAGGAGACGGCGTGGGCCCCAAGGTGGTCTTCTCCTTTGACGCACTGGACATGGGCCATATCTTTGTGGGATCCACGCACACTTATGAGGTATATCTTGCTGACGAGGTTGTCGTTATGGGACGCCTGCAAACCCAGAAAGCTGCTCGCATGCAACCACAAACGATCTGAAAATGTCAAGTTATTCCATTAGGGAATGCTGATTAATATGCATATGCAAATCTAATCCAGTTAGGAACTCAGCTTATTAAGGCCGATGTTGCATAATAAGCAATGCCTGGAAAATTCTCCACCATCTTATTGGTGAATCACTGATCACATGTCATCAAATTATGCATCCCAGTGCACTGCATGGCAAACCATAGAAACAGACATTACATTCAACTGCTAAATGGAAGTTCCATTAATGCTCAGTCTAGAGAAATTACTTAGCCTGAGGGGATGAATGGATTTATTCAGGTGGGGATTTATACAGGCAATGTGGGGATTTATGCAGGCAATGTACGGATCTAGTTGAAATTTATTCAGTAAAAATGTGAATGTAAACTAGTGAGGGTTTCGTATTTATGCTTAGTAGATTTTAAAAATGTGCTTTTGAATTTAACCAAGACATACTGTTCGGTAATGTTCTTCATTTGACCTCTTGGTTTCGAATTAGTTTCATATTGAATTATACGTCTCTTTACAATCCACAGGTGGTGCTGAGCAACCAAGGCGACATCGACGCTACCTTCAACCTCCTGCCCAACCAGACCACCTTCGGCCCACGCTTCCAGTTCAGCCCCAGTGAGGGCATTGTGACCCCCGGCAGCCACCAGGCGATTAAGATTGCCTTCTCCTCCCCCGTGCTGGGCGACTTTGACGAGGACTTCCACTGCTCCGTCCGGGGCCTGCCGGAGAAGCTCAAGCTGAACTTCAAGGGGAACGTGATTGGGCCCACCTTCCACTTTGACCAGCCCAAGCTCAAGTTTGGCACCGTGTCTTACGGTGAGCGTCAGCACACTCCATCCACTGCATCACCAACATGACTTAGCAACTCAATACCAGCTTTTTATAAGCAAGCCCACAGAAGCAAATTGCTTGCAAGCCATTGTTTCAGTCAAGTCCATCACAGGTTCATTAAGAATCCATCCAGTCTTAAGCCAGGTCACGAGCCCTTCAAATGGACTTCGGCAAAAAGCATCCCTTTTTCATCGTTCATTCTATTATTTATGAAAGGACTTGTGACTGGACTTGTGATATAAGCCATGTTCGCAGTGAGCTTCCTTGAGCTACGGCCAGGTCTAATGTCTGAGTAAAGACCCAGACCTTGCTGTAGACAACAGATTCGGTTGCAGGCGCGACTGCAGCACTGTTTTTTTGCAATTTACATCACAGCGTGTGAAGCTGCCTCATTTTTTTTTTCAGAGCTGAAAACACACGGTATAGTCATGCTCAAAATATCACAGCAAATGAGAACTATTAATATCTGTGCAATTTTGAATAGCAGCTTCATGTTCCATTACATCAAATCCAGCCATCAAAACTGCATCTCTTCTTGCAGGGGGGGAGGGGGAATGTTTACGTTAGTTGCTGGAAGACGTCAACATAATGTCGTAAACGAGATCCTTTGTATTTTTTTCAAGGAATTATTCAACCTTCCTGTCTCGGAGCACTCCAACTTATGTTAAATGGGAGGATTAAGAACCGTTCTGGTCAAAGGGATATTCACCGTGACATTTCCATTTCACTTGCAGGATTCAAGAGCACCAGGAGTGTGACCCTCGCCAACACTGCCCTGGTCCCCATGACCTTTAACCTCAGGGTACCAGGTGACGGCACAGGGGAAGTGGTGTCGGCAACCAGCGGGGAACCGACGCTGAACCGCAGCAATCTGAGCGTGCCACCCACGGAGTTCCGCATCACGCCAGAGAAGGGCACTATTCCTCCGCAGAGTGAAGTCAAAATACAAGTAAGTACAAGAGATTTGAACTTACAAAGCTAAGTGTAACCTTGCTAATAGGGATTTCCACATTCGACTGTGCCATCTTTTTGTGCCTTTCATTAATAAAGTTGTCAATGCACAGTAAGTAATTTATATTAAAACAAACAGTCGCCCACAACACTGAATCTCAAACATGGAATGAATGATGTAAGGCCGCTTTTTAGTCCCAACAACATGGAAAAAATGGCATGTTTGAGAATTCAGAATTTATAAGGTTTTACACTTTCAGGTATTTTCCGGTAGTCCGTTACAAAAGCCATATCAAATTTCTCGTTATATAATGGCAAAGAAGTACCTTACAAGCAGCAGTCATATTGGGAAAGAGATTTCTGTTAATGTTTTGTTCCAGGTGGAGCTAACGTCCAATACAGTGAAAAAGTACGACATGTCTCTAGTTGTTGACGTCGAGGGAGTTGGAACGGAACTGTTGGCCCTACCGATCACAGCCAAGTGAGCACATCATTCCAAATAGCACTCTAAACTGGAGTAATATTTATCATTTGATCAGCATTAACCCCTTGACGACGGGAATTTCTTTCCGAAAGCCAACTCCAAGAATTCTGGCCTTGCTTGGCCACAAAGGCCACATGCCAAACCGCAAATTCTCGGTTTGTGGCCCTGCGTGCTCTGCACTCTTTGAATTACACAGTGAAAAGGCTGATTGTTCGGTGGCATGCGGCTCTACTCACGCTTCCACATTCCCTCTTTTCAAAGTGGGGACCATTGTGAAGCTGGTGATTATGATGCAAATTTGGTCTTTTCATTTCTGGGCTACGCACAAAGACCAATTACCATATATACCAGAGCCAGGGTCTGCCTTCTTTAACCATGTTTGCTCGAGCGTGGGCCGAGAATAATAGCTGAAAAGTGGGCTGAGGATCTCAATTTTTACGGCGTTTCTAGCCGCGTCCCGGAGCGAAGGGGTTAAGCTGCCTTGTCATAGTTATGATTAGGTCAATTTGGTGGCCCACAGGATAAAATTTGAGATGGATACAAAGTGGACTGCAAACATACTTCTTGGAAGACAGTTGTCTTTATACCTAAGCAGTGTTGCAGTCGAGACCAGGCACAAGACCAGGCACAAGACCAGGCACAAGACCAGTAACAAGATCAGTCACAACTAGTCACAAGACCAGTCACAAGACCAGTCACAACTAGTCACAAGACCAGTCACAAGACCAGTCACAACTAGTCACAAGACCAGTCACAAGACCAGTCACAACTAGTCACAAGACCAGTCACAGGAAACACAGTGAACAGTGAAAATGGAATGCTTTTGTTGCAGGTCATTCGAATAGAGTCTACCGAAGTGTGACGTCACTGTGAACCAGAAAGTACAGTGCAAATGAATGGAGTACGCGCGCGTGTTGGTTCACGCGGCGGTTCTCGCGCTAACACTTTTTACACACTAGATGTGCGCGTGACGTATTCACTTCGGTACTCTATATAGCTTGTGACTTGTATTGAGAAATGGAGGTCTTGTGTTGGTCTCGTAATCATCTTGCAGGGTGTGTCACGATGGTCTTCAGGGGTCTCAACTTCAGCACTCTGTCAAAGGCAGAATGTCATGTTTAACATCTGCAACATTTACGTCCACTCCCCAAATGAAATTTGCATGACAGGTGTGTCGTACCTGCGATTGTAGTGGTGACTCCCATCATGGACTACACAAGATGCTTCTTGAACCATCCCTACGAGTTGAACACAAAGCTGTTCAATGACTCTGACTTGCCCGCCAAATACGACTTGGTTCCTCAGGTAAAAAGCCAGATACGGCTGTGGTTTAGAGTAGAGTTGCGACATGAGGGATTCAATTTTTGGAACCAAAATGGCGGATTATGCTTCAGCACACATGCGCACATTAGCTTCAAGCTGTACTGCACATATAATGAGCGGCCATTTTGGTTCCCACAGCCTGAAGTTCGTGCAGTTGTCTATATGTACTGCTATGGGTGTAAGTGGTTTTGACCAATGGAATTTTTTTCTCATGCAAACTGTGACTTGCGGTCTCGTTAGCAATCAAATATTGAACACTGTGTTGGTACACAAACAGTCATTGGTCATTTCAGTTGGGGGAAAAAAACGGAAAGGGAACGATCCCATGTTTTGACCATTTGACCTGAGAATGTATCCAGGTGGGTGTAACATTTGTTATGGAGCATGTTGAGAATGTGTCTTGAAACTCAGAATGCCTCTGTGAAAAAAAGTACCTTGCTTAAGAAAGATGCCAGTGTGCACGTATATTCACTTCTCCAGTTGTTGGAAATTGTCGGAAACAAATTTTTTTACATGGGAATTCTTTCTCCGTTGGGTTGCAATATCCAAACGGTTTGAGGTATCGTTCATACCCTCCACTTGTGTTGTTGGACCGTCTTAGGAGATACAGGACATGAGCCCCATGCTGTACACCAGCCCCCAGGCCACGGGTATCATTGAGCCCCACTCCACTGCCGAGGTCCCCCTGGTTATTATGCCTAAAGCCCTGGAGGAGATTGAGGCCGTGGCTGAGTTCAGCATCTTTGGCAGCACCGAACCACCACTGGTAAGTTTTAACCAGTTTACTTTAATATTAACAAGTTGTAATTTTTTTTGTTTGGGTACAGAGAAATAGTCACTGATTTTCTACAATCTGTAATTGTACCCGTCGGCTGTAGCACTCCCATCTACTTTGCTCAGAACAAAATCTTCTTTCTTAAGCGTCGTCTAAAAATGATCTCGCTTTTTGATCTCGGCTGGGAAGAACACCAAGGAGGGCTGATAGTCAAGTCAAGTCTGAGCTTGGGAAGAGAGGTCTATTCATAGGAGATCTGTCTATTATCAGCTGGGGATTACGAAGGCCCATTGGCCCAGGCTTGGTTGCAGCTTGGCTCAGACTTTCAAAGGCTTTCACGCGTCAGTCTGTCCGCCGGGCTCCCTTAAGTGACCCCCTGTTTTCTTAATTTTTTCCAAGTGGTTATAATTGTTTGCCACAGTTAAAGGAGAAACTTTACATCAAAGTTAACATTTGAAACTTTGGGGGAAACACAAAGATAGTATACTCACATTCACACAGTTTGACCCATAAAGCTGTCTTGGCATAAACTTCTTGGGCCATATCGTTGTTTGAAAATTTGGTTTTTAAAACCTCTACAAATTTTTTTTTCATGAGGAAGGGTAATCACTTTTAAACAAGGTAGAAGGGACCGGCTTTAACCAAGCTCCAAGTAAGATATGACATTACTTCTGAAAATATTCCTATTGAATTTCAGAATTTCAGAATGGCATCGCGGTAAAATGCTATTACAAAGTTAGTGGCACTCGTTAATGAACGCTGTTAATTTTGCACAGTCAGTGCAGATTTTTGACTTGAAAAAGAACTGCAGATATTTAGGAATTAAGAATGTGCCCAGCTATTTTTTTGTACCAATGCTCACGACACTTTTATCTTCCCAACAGCAAGTTCAACTGATGGCTATAGGAGAGGGGCCCGTCGTGCACGTGACACCCACCGAGATTGACTGGGGCCAGACACCGGTCCTGACAGACGTCACCAAGATAGTCACGCTGTCCAACGAATCGCTGATCCCTGCACCGTTCTGTTGCACGCTGGTAAGTTGGTCTTCGCAAAACTGTAGCTTGGCAGTCGCGTCCGGCACACCCTTTAGACCAAAAGAAATGCAGGTGAATGTGTGATAATTCTTTGGGGCTGACTCGAGTCTATCGTACGTCTTTACAAGTCTGTGCAAGTCCATTACAAGTCAACCAGTCTCAAGCTAAGTCATGATCTATCCAAATGAAATGCGGCTCAAGCATTCCTTTGACACTATCTACTTACCTCTGGTCTTGTGACTGGACTTAGGTCTGATCTTGTAATGAACTCGACTACCACCTTGCCATTTCAGCACGTGACTGATGAGTGATTACAAAAACCATGATGTTAGATTGGAAGTTTTTGTCTATGGGTTTGTTTCTGCCTAGATGCGGCCCAACTCCCTCTGGCAAGTTGAGCCCAAGGAGTCCGTCATCCCACCAGAGGAGAGCTTGGATCTCAGACTAACAGTCAACCTGGATGACTGCATTAGGTAATCATCTCCCTAGCCCCAAATAGTCCTGAATTCCCCGATTTCCTATTACTTTGCACTCATTTTGCAGGATTAAGCTGAAAGTATCCTGAAATTATGAATAATTCACCAAATGTCCTGTTTGTGTCTGAGACAGCGGGTGAAAAGTGTCTATTGTTCCCAACTTGTGATTCATTCAGTTGAGTTATCTGTTGACAAAAATGCGTCACTTTCTCAGCAGCAAATTCCTTTTATTTTCAGATGTGGTAAATGTCCATGTATTGTCTTGTGATGCATATGTCTGTTCGCTTAGATTTCCTGTATTTAAATTTTTTGTTCATTGTTTATGTTATCTGGAAGAACAACATTCTTGGTCCATCACACTCAACGATTTTCTCATTTTGCCATTGTTTGAAATGTTCTCCTTTAATCTGTGACAAGTTTTCCATTGATCGGCAAGAGGTAACGACATTCAGAATAAAATGGTATTATTTTTCCATCAGATTTCAAGACAAGCTGGCCATCAACTTTGAGAACAGCCAGACGCGTACAATCAAGCTCCAAGCTTACGGGCACGGCACCACCGTCGTGTCTTTCCCACCCATGACGCCCAGCATCGAGCTCGGACACCACTTCAGGTATTAAGCTCTAATTCATAGCTTGCACATCATTGCGGGGTAGCCTGTGTGCTATAGCAGCATTGTAGGCACAGCATTACTGTCTCGCAAACTTGGTAAAAATTTTTTAGGATCACAAGTAACTTTGTTTGAACGGGTTAATAGTCAGTAGCGATATGTGAAGGATATTGCTTTTGATTGGTAGTCGAGCATTTAAGTTATTTCCTTCATTTGTTTTTGCTATCTTAGGATTTTGAAATTTGGTCAACTGTCACTAGTTTGAAGTGAGAGGGTGCATTAATTTTGCACCAATGGAGTGGCTGCTCCATTTCTTTTCAGCCTTTTAGAGAGATAGTTTGGGTAAGATGGCTTGCTCAAGGACATAGCGCATGGTGAGATTTTTGGATTGACACCCTTCAGATCTGAGCCAAAGACATTAAATCTGTGGATCATGTGCATTTTCAAAGTAAGAAAATTGAATGTTCATCTGTGACAAATCCTCCAATCCAACTGATCCAAATGTTTCAACCCTGCAGTAGTGGGCCTTGCCGTCGCATGTTCACTTTGACCAACAAGGGACGCCGCCACCAGCAGCTCTTCTGGAGCACGGAGGGCTTCAACCCCATCAAGCTGAAGAACAGAGACCCCTATTACAACCCTCTGGACGTCAAGTACCAGGTAGGGCTAGCGTGGCTTTGATCCTGGCTCTCATCTCCTCAGTTCAGTGCCTGGATTTTTCGGAAGATCTAGAATTCCGGCTGAGCTATGTTTTTCCACAGGCTTAGTTTACCCCCCCTTTTCCCCTGTGAGCCCCCTCCCCCCAAATCTCCATACTTGTTGCTCTTCCCAACATCTTTCAGATCCGATTCAGGGCCTGCCCTAGATAGCGCTTGCTGACACCAGCCTCTTTGTCTTTGAATGGAGTTAAGCCAACTATTACCATTACGCATAGAGTTGACTAACCTGCCAGAGCCTGTCAATTTGCCTGCAGTATCTGTGTGTGTCTGGGTTATCGCATGCGACCTGTCACGACAAAATGAGAGTAAAGTCGCATGCCACTCTTTCCTGTTTTGAGGGTTGAAAGTCATTTTGAAGTGGAGGTCAATTTGGGGGTTTTGTCATATTTGGAAAGAGTAACCCGCCTCCTATTTAATTCCAAATATTTCGCAGAATCACATATTTCAAAATGTCATTTTCTTGGCAGTTTTTACGATAGCATTATTTGTGCCTGGTCTGAAATGTTGAAACAATGTCAGGAACAAAGATGCAAAGCTGCCAGAATAATGTCACATTGTCACCTTATACTGCTACCCTAAGTGTTCCATGTACATACCATTGGAAAAGTCTCTTTCTGCTTAATTATAAAAATACCAATATCTCAGTTTTTGAAAATGCTGACTCTCAGCTCATTTTGTGGTGACAGGTCACATATCTGATTTCCGTCCCACATGAAATGGCGTGTAGGGTCAAACCCAGTGAGTATGATGATTTGTGTTTTCCATGGGCAAGGTACATCATCACAGTTACTTCTCTCCAGCCTAGGAGTACAAATAGAGGTTTTTCACGTGACGGAACATGACGGCTAAAGGCATTTCAGGAAGCGTACCGTGTCCATAGAGTGCATTTTGGATCTGCGTATTTATATTGGCAATTTCTACGTACACTAGAATGTTGAGAGACTTTGAAGGCGCGCGCGTAAGTGCGCACATCTGTGTAGATTGAGCGCCGACCGTCAAAAATCATGTGACTGAAAATCTTCTGTAGATGCCCGTGTGGGTAGAGAACAAAATCAGACTGATCTGAAACTGCTGTAGAAACTGATGCCGTGGCTCTGTGAGCAAGAGCGGTCACTACGAGGCACCCCGGAGACCTCTGCAGGGATGAGAAGCATTACCGAAGCGCCCCCGTTCCTTTTATCTTTGCAGAGGATGCCCCCACCGGCTCCACCACCCAAGCCTGTCTTCAGCCTGACCCCATCACGCTTTGAGCTGGAGCCCGGAGAGAGTATCGACGTTGTTCTTGACGGCCAGTCTGATACGTAAGCAACGCATCCGCTTCGATCTCCCTATCCCCTACCCCTCCCCCCCTCCAAAAAAGGGAGAATTAAGTCACAAGTAGATCCAACCCCCACATCCAGTCTTTTTTCCCCCAAAAACCGTCTGACTCGGGAATAAGTTATCTCAAGCATTAGTGGACAAAATCCAGTTCCACAGTTTTTAAAACCCCTCTATTCAGCACCGTCCCACCCTTGTCAACTTCCAGCGTAGTCCCCGGGTGGACCGTTCAGAGGTTACGACTACAGGGTACATGTGGTTGCAAAGATGTTGAAATTTCCCACCACTACCGGGTTCAATTCCAGAGGGATTCCTAGCAGCGCCATTGGCAAGGTTGAGATTCTGCGAACTTCCCCCGTTGTCGATTCTTGTCACTCGTACAGCGCTTTCTGTAAAATTAACAACCTAGCCGGTTTCTTAAATGTTTTCATTGGTAAGATTTATTTTGCAGTAAAGAGCAAAAGGGATCTAACGGGAAACCGTCATATTTCAGTGGATGGGGTTTTTGTGACAGATGGGAAACTTTTTACGCACCCTTTAGTTTAGATAAATTTCTCTCTAAACTCGTGCTTTTTCATCCTGTCACTCAAATCTGCTTGATTTTCTTTTGTCAGAGTTAGATAAAAAAAACAAAAACCCAAAATTGAAGCGACTTCACTTCACGTCTCACTTTTGCCTACGATAATTATTTTCCCTTGCTCCGGCAGGCCCAAGGTGGTGAAGGAACGCATGCTGTGCCACGCCATCATCGGCAAGGCCAGCGGCAAGGAGAAGATCATGAAGACAGACATCAGCATCGAGTTCATCAGCCCGCTGCTGGAGTTCTCCACCAAGCAGGTCATGTTCAGAGTGGATAAGGTAAAAAGAAAACAACTCAGCCCTGCACACTCGGACGTTGGCCGCGTCCAAATTGTTCGGCTCGGCCTGAGATAGCATATGCATCTGTGAGAAATGCTTGCGGATTCCCTCGGCACATGTGTTATTTCCAGCAGTTGCCAAGTCATTCGGACGTGACCTCTGTCTGCGCGTTTATGAGCCCAAACAGTTCCCAGACCCCTCTCAAATTGACCCAATTGGAAATCTAGGGTTTGCCTAAGCTGTCCAAAGCACCAGCGGGCTGTCGTGAGGAAGTCGGATGACATGACATTTTTATATAAACCACCAACTTTACTGGGGAAAAAGTTCCCAGAAATTAAGATCGTGGCGGCACCTTCCAATTAAAATCTGACTCAGCCCCGTGTACTGTACCACGGTCGACACATATGATTCAAGCAGACTTCTCGTTTTAAATCGACCCAAGGCACATCAGAAACTCTGAAAACCCAAGCCGCGAGCGGCTTTGATTAATATACGCTCAAGGGAGAAATCACAGTCTTCTCTTGTATTTCTGGTTCGTCGCTGCAGCATCCTAACGACGTTCTGGAGAACCAGTTAGAGGAGCTGACGCTGACCAACGTGTCTTCCTTACCCCTCCACACCCACGTGGAGCTGGAGGAACCGTTTGTCATCATCTCGGAGGACGAGGGCCAACCCAAGGAAATCTCCTCCATGGTACGAAAACACCATTGCTGTCTTGTTATAAATGTGGTGGGTGGGGCTTAACCTCCCACCCTTTTTCATTTGACCGATTGCAGCCCCGAATGTGGTGTAATGTAATGCCGAAGACACTGTAAAGTTACACATGATAGTTTTGCTGCACCGCAAATTGACGTATTGTCCACTGACTTTGCACACGTGATACATCAGTTGTTGGTGCAGCAACTGTACATGATGTCGGTTGTGGCCTGACTGATGATACCTGCTGGAGAGTTTTCCACATGTGCATGGGCGCAACAGAGAAGAGCACGTGTTAATTGCTTGCTTGTTCAGTGAGTGAGACTGTTGGATCAGCCCATTGCCTTGAATGAAGACAAACATTCCAAGATGCCAGATTAATAAAGACAATGTCCACAAGCCTATTTTGATTACTTTCCTCTTGGATAAATCTGTAACATTCTCAACCAGGTTACATTTTGTGCATCTTTACGTGATGCAGCATGAGGTCTTTTTAATATTCAATATTTGTGTGACAAGTGCTAGTGTTTGTTGAGTTAACGGTGCAAACGCTAAGTCTGCTGTGTATTTGGTGTGTGCAGGATATTCCAATGGAGGTTGGTGAATCTCAGACGCTGAAGATTCAGTTCAATCCTGCCTATGTGGAGGACTCTTACTCCAGGGTAGCCGAGAAGTTGCTCACCTTTAGATACCGAGAACATCCACACATTGTGAGTAATTCCGTCCTCATTTTCCTCAAATCCATTGTTTCTTGTCCTGAAGGGCGGAATCTTGAAATTGTACACAATCTATTTACAAGCCGCATTTCATCAGCTTTTGGGGCACCCCCAGGTGGCCCCTTGGAAATTTCACCCTAGTAATGCCACTGGTTTGTTCTTTGTAAGGATTACGTTGGCCTGCGGGGTGAGGTCTACTTCCCCAACCTGACCTTCGAGAGGATGCAGGTGGACTTTGGCTGCATCCTGAACGACACCGAGGTCACCCGCTACGTCCACATCACCAACGCCAGCCCCATGGCCGTCAGCTATCGCTGGTCCTTCCTGGAGCCGCCGGACCCCATCCTGGTCTACCCCCAGCCTCCTCCAGCCCAGCCGGCAGGGGATGGAGGGGACGGGGGCACCGGCTCAGGGGAAGGGGATCAGCACGTGGCGTTCGAGGAGCCCCCCGAGGAGGTGGAGACGGGGCCGGAGACTGACGGCGAGGAGAAGGGGATGGAGGCCGAGGAACAGGAATTGGAGGTGAGACCAGAGAAGAAAACAACCAAAACCAAAAGACCCCCTCTCTCTCCTGATGCGACCTATTCCTGAAGATACAGAAAAAGAATTGCTTAGCAGGTGTTCCCAGTTGTGAGGTGTGACATTAGTTGGTTTTGCTCAATCGTTTCTTGCTTTTGTTGAAAAGTATTTACATTTCTTAATTAAAAAAATGTTATCTTCTATTATTTGATTGCCATTGGCATCCTCTAAAAATGCTTCAATAATTAACTCTCTGTTTCCTTGATCCATCAATTTCAATATAATTTTTGTTACTTTTAGCATAGTTTTTAAAAATAGTCTGCAGTGATTTGTAGCAGATATGAAATGCCAAATGCAGAACACAATAAGTTTCTCTTAACAAAACTGTAGCTCCAAGTGAGTGCTGAGTTATTTCTTTTCTGTTAAAAGGAAAGGAAAAGCATTGATTAAATTTCCTAGGTTTACCAGCATCCACAAATTGGATAACATGCTGTAATGCTCCTATCTAGAAACCGGCCGAATCAACCCCCAGAGAGGAACCCCTGTCCACTGTGAACATCAAGCTCCCCGCCGAAGACAGCGTAAAGGATGCCCAGTCGGTCAAGCTGGTCACCCAAGACACCAAGGACTCGCTGACTGAGGATAAGTCCCCCCACCAGCAGCAGCAGCAGCAGCAGCACCAAGACGGTGGAGAGAAGTCCTCCAAGAGGTCCCCCCGTAAGACCCCCCGCAAGTCCACCGGCAAGAGCCAGGGCAAGTCAGCCAAGTCGGGAAAGACGTCCGTCACTGAGGAGAGCAGCGGCCACCGGAAGAAAACCGCGAAGGAGGACAAGGAGGAGATGAGGGAGTCCGAGACGCCAGCTGAGCAGGTTCCTTGGAAGACTTTTGTTGCTTTAAAATTCAAAGTTGCTTTCCTAAAATGGGGAAGATGTTTTATTGGTAGGAAGAAATTACCTTGTTTGTTTTGTCTACATTTGATGGTTCTCTAGTGGTCTCAGTGTTGTTTTTACTTCTGGTTGATGTATTTATATTTCTACAAATACTGCCAAAACATCCATTTTAAATTAGTGATGTAGTTGCCTCAAAGACCTGAGTGGAAAACATCTGTAGACAACAAATAGTGGTTTGCCACGATGATCAGCTCTTGGTTTTCTCAAGCAGTCTGTAAGCTTTGCAAAGCTCTGACAATGCTGGCTCGAATCATTTGCGATCAGATCCTAAGCGTGGTGGACATGTCTTCTGTGGCCGTGGAGGAGCAGGCAGCCGAGGACAGGCAGAGCGTGGGCAGCCGGGCCTCCCTGCGCCCCACCAGCGCCATGAGGAGGCGCCAGGCCAAGCTGGCCTACTTCCAGACCATCACCGAGCCCACGGTGGTCGGCATCGAAGAGGTCAGTCAGTCCTGTAAAGTGTGCCATTGTGAAAGGCAGAGTCATTTGAGAGTAAAACACGCCATGTTATGTTGTGCCAGTTCAAACATGTTCAGTGTGTGTGAGTGGTTAGACAGCCGCTTTGATGTTGCCGACTTTAGCATGAATATATTACTGATTCATTCTCAGCACACACTCTCTTACCGAACTCGCTAACTCAACTTCATTTCAGACAGTACAGTCAGTAAGCGTTTTCAGACAGTG